CTGGGCAGCCGAGATCTCTGCGGCTCCTGACACCGACCTCCAGCAGGCTCTGAGTGTGGATGGGGAGGTCTCCTGCTCTGAAGGCAGAAGTGACGAGCACCGCAGGAGTGTGCTGAACCCAGACACAGCACAACCCAAGACCCATGGGGTGTCTGGAGCGAGGAGAGCGCGCGGGCATGGGGGGGTCCTTGTTTTAGACTCGCTGTGTGGGGTAAGGGAGCCTTACAATGGGCTGTTCATGCCTTCAGAGACACCTCCAGAAGGAAGCCTCCCGCGGTGGCCACGTCTCTGCTGGGATCCCAGCGAAGGGGCAGTGGGTCCTGCAGCCTCGGCAGAGCAAGGGCAGATGTGCTGCAGGTGCTCCAGCAGGAGCTGCCCGCGGGGTGCACCAGGTCTGCAGCTGGCCGAGGAGATGAAAACAGCAGAAAGCGCAATTGCCCTGGCTCTAGACCAAGCTCCTGCACCTCCAAAGCTGCCTCCCTGGCACGAATAACGTTGGCCAAGAGCAGCCAGGTCAAGAGGTGCAGGGAGAGGAGGAGGGGTCGAGAGCACGGTGGGAAAGCTGGACACCAGAGACAGCTATGGGGTGGGTCCACGATCCAGGGGAAAAACCTGTCTGGGGAAAAGCTTTTCTCTCAAGCCTCAAGAAATGAGGAGGGGGGAAACGGGAGAGAGATGGAATGGGAAGAAACCTGAAGCATGTGGGTGCTGAGAAGGAACATCACCATGCTAGCAAACGCAAGTACCGAGTGTCTGGAGATGGGGTAGTGGAATCACTTTCCTAACTCAGGTCAGGAACGGTCCTGGGGACGAAGCCAGAGCTCATGACAAGAGGTGTTTTGTGTGTCCCCTTGCAGGCAGTGGAATGAGAGCTGGGACCGAGGAGAAGAAAAGGGGCTCCTTCGGCTAAAGCAGCAGAACGGGACCAAGGGGAACTGGACTGCACAGACACCGAGACGGCCACTTAACCACGGTCAGCCCAGCGAGGAAACCCTGTGCAGCGCTGCAGTGGGGCAGCGGGAGCAGCGCCCGGCACCCAGGAGAGCTGCCCTCCAAACAAAGAACATGCCACAGGATGCTATACACTCGGGGGAAAAAACGGGCCCGTGCCAGCTCTAATTGGCCCCTAAAATGACAAGTTATTCTTTAGGATTTAATCTCTCTGTGCTTTGTTTCCCCATCTTTAAAACATCCCTCCATCTCACAGAGGTTTCAGGAAAATTAATTAATTGTTCATCAACTGCCCAGATACAACAGCAATGAGATCGGCAGAAGTTCAAGAGGAAATAATTCTGCCTCTGGAACAGGGCTTGAATAGAGCCTGGCAAATAAGGCAGAAGGGCACACACCGAACAATGAAGAGAAAACAAAATAACGAACAGCTGCTCATTAAAGTCAGCAAAGTCCATTCTGTGCTCTGAGGGAGGCAGGGACCCTGTGGAGAGCCCAGCATGGGGTCCTGTAATTAAAAACTGTATAAAAATGCATACACACCAGGGGGGAAAATTAAGGTTGCACGAGGAACCCTAACAGTGCTATTTTCTAACTTTTCAGTGTTTGACTTTCAACCCTAACAATGCTCTTCTAGCCCCGTTTTCAGGTGCGCAGTGTCACATAGAGTGTGGGCACCACGCTTTCCTTCTCCAGCTCCAGCAGTGGGATGTCTATTCTGATTTATTCTGAGAAGTGTGCACTCACCAGCCATTAAAGACTTAGAAAAATAATCAATTAGAGTTGGTGTTCACGTAAATGCACACCAGCTTTTTGGGGTTGTGGGTTTGTTTCTTCTTTTAAACAAGGTGCATGTAGCCAAACCCAGTATTTTCTCAAGCCAAAGAATAAGACATCCAACGTAGCATGTACCTACTACAACCTAATTCAAAAAATAAAACATTATCCTGGAGACAGCCGGTCAGTACTTTTTAATTCAACCTTTTACCAGTCAAAAATAAAACAAAACAACAACAAAAAAAGAGGGTTTCTCATGCTGCTGAACAGTTCTACATAACTAAAGTCCCCTGCAGGATTTAGCTCTGGGTTTCCCAACCCGTGGCAATGCAGCACCCCCAAACACTCCACCACCAGGCAGCTGCCCCACAGCCTCCAGCACTGAGACATTTCCTCCCCCGGCTCGGCGCAGAGCCCCCCAGGAGGGGATGAAGCACCCTGCGGCAGAGCTGTGCCTTGCCGAGTGCTGCTGCCCGCGCTGCTCCGTCCACCTCCTGCACTGCCAGCACCACCAGCCAACCCCCGTCCGTCAGGTACTGACCAGCCAGCAGCATCCCAACGAGCCACCACAGCCGCAGCTGCAGATCGCCCTCGTCAACCCAGAAAACCTCTGGCTGGAACGCTGCTGCTGCTGGCAGCTGGGAGAGGAGAGCAGGGGTCGACCTGCAGCAGCTGCCTCCCGACAGCAGCGCACTGAGCGACGGGTTTTGATGAACACAACGGCCACACGAGCATCATTGGGCTGAAACGGGCACAGGCTTAATTCTCTGCTTCTCTCCTTCCACCTGACGAACCCAAAAGCCTTCCAGCCTCCAACAGAGACGCCTGAGCATCACTTTCCAGGGCAAGAGTCCCTGTGCCCCGAGCAGCCTGGGGCAGGCTCCCAGGACAGCAAAGCCTGGCTGGCAAATCCCTCCTCGCTGACTCACTGCTCTCATCTGAACACCAGAGCAGTCCAGCTGCTGACTCCGTAGGCCTGAGCTCCGAAGATAAAACCCTGCTCTGACTGAGCTGGAGCACCGCACGCGGCTCAGACCCACCGCCTGCCCCAGGCTCCCCTGAAAACAGGGACACACGGCAACTCAAAACCGAGATCCAGGTCCCCAGCAGAACCGAAATCCAACTGACAACCGAACGTAGCACCTATGTCAGTGCACCTATACAGACATTATCGATAATAAAACCAAATTCCTATTAATACTAACACAAAACAAAAAGATGACTCGCCCCCGTAAAAGTGAATGGCTTTTTGGTGAAGTGTTGGGAGTGGGAAGAAATGAAAAGCACAAACCAGAGTTTTATCTAGAATATGGGATTATTTAAATTGAAGATTTTATTTGCTCGTTTAATCATGATTCCACACAGTGATGTCAATCGTTCCACAACTCACCCTCCGAGGGGTCAGCTGCAGCCAACAGAGGTTAAGTGACTTGATGGAACCACACGCAAATCACTAGCAGAGTCAGGGAAAACAAAGTTGGGACAAATCAGCCCAAATCCCAATTCTTGGCTTGAAAGAGACTCGCAGCCCATGCTCAGGATGACAGAGCAGCCAGTCCCCCCTCTGACCTTCTGAAAGCCACCGCACCCGGAAGGCTGGAGGCTCTTACAAGAGCATTTTGACTCTGTTACATCCTTCAGAAACAAACATCTCACACCTGTAAACGGTCTCTGGAGAACATCGACATTCTCCATCAACCCCCAAACTCCAGCAAATCTTTTCCACTGAAAGCTGTGATTTGCAGCTAGTTTTTTACCAGGTTTGAGGCATGCTATCAATACTGCGGAGAGTAAAAATCAGAAGAATTTGCTCCTCTGCCCTTGTGCTGAGCAGTTAATCGTCTTCATTTGCTTGAAAAAAGCAACCTGAACAGAAAGTCCTACAGATTATACAACATCTCAGGGGAAGACAGCTTCAAGTCTGGGAAAGCTTTGGTCGTTAAAAACTGTCCCGAATGCACTGAGCTTTCACAGGAAGAGTCACAGTGGAACCACTAACATACCCCCCATGGGCAGCCTGCAGCTGCACGTTCCCATGCAAACCAAGGGAGCTGGTGGCTAAAAAGTACCATCGTGGGCTTTTCCTGAAGGCTCCCCGCAGCGAAAATGCTCACCTTCGTCCTGACAATGTTGATTGCTACTGCAAATCAAACTGGATTACAAACCTTCCCAGGAAAGCCCAGCCCCTCTGCAGGGGTTCTCACACTGACCAAGCTGCACAGGGCCCTTCCTTTAACTTCTGAGCCAGGTACCCTGCTGCCCCTTACGGATAACGCTACCCTGCTCCTCCGCTTCAAAAGTGAGTCTGCACGGAAACATTTCAAAGAACATTTTATGAGATTGTAAAAATACCAGGCATGTTGGCAAGTGCTCAGGTGAATGCAGATGCAGATATTTAATTACACAGCCAATCATGTCTGCAATCCAGACAGCCGCTCAGATCTCACAGCTTAATTACTTTAATTTCAGATGAATAGCTTGTGTTGACATAAGCTGTTTGACACACTGGAAGAGTCAGAAATCATACGAGGAATGGATAGCCTTACTGACAGCGAGGAAAAAAGTTGGGGCATCCCTGGAAGTATCCAAAACCGGACTGGCCAAGGCCCTGGGCAAGCGGATCCCACTCTGAAACCAGACCTGCTGTGAGCTGGGGGGGCAGGCAGCGAGGGCTTTGGATTAGAGACCCCCGAGGCACCTTCCCACATAAACCATTCTGTGATTCTGGATACAAATAATGAGATGAACTACAAGCAAAGACTGTATCTTTCTCATACGAGTTTATACGTCATGCCAGTCACCACCACTGCTGTGCCCGCTCAGCACGCTACCTGACCGGACACCGCCCTACACAAAGGCAGCAGCATCTCGTGATGCTCCAGAAGTGCCATCGCTCTTTAGAGGCATCTTGCCCGGTGCACCAAACGGCACTTTCACCAGGCAGAGCCACAGACCTTTCCTGGCTCCTTTGGTCTAAAAGAACCGGATACGAACATCACAATGCATTTTTCAATAGCTACCAAGAGGAGGTGTTAAATAACCAATTTTTATTGCTCTGACCACCCACATATCTTGGGCAGCTTAAAACACCTCATTGACATTTGCTGTTCTGCTTTCATTTCAAAAACGCAAGAGGAACAGCGTAGGGCCCTGTTAAAAAGAACAAAGCCAGAGAAATTTGTGAGAAGGTTTTGAACCTGGCAGCTGATTTCACCGTACAGCCAAGGCACAGGATGAAGCAAGAACTGTTAGGAATCATTAAATGCTCTTACCTGTCCTGCAAAAAGCCCACACACGCCAATAATACAGAGAATGTTAAACACAGCCGAGCCGACGATGGTTCCAACGCCTACATCTCCTTTTGTGATAAAAACACCTGAAAAACAAGATCAAGGCAAGCTGCGTAAATTGTAAAGAGCAGAATTTTTACACAAAAACCTGCAGCCCTCACACCCCATTAATGAATCCAAAGGCGTTTACCAGTTCTGATGCTTTTTGTCATATTTGATGGGGAAATTTGCAGACAAAGGTGCTAGGGGTGAATACAGGTGGCAGAACTTGCTTTCCGAGGGGACCTGGACAGATTGTCTAAGGAAAACCAAATACCTTAGGCATGTCTATGGCACCAAACTCCTGGTCTTGCAATCCAATGTTATGGCAAGAGGTATCGTACACGACAGCAAGCTCCATGGGAGCAGATGGTCAGACACAGACCTGCAGGAACGATCTCCCACGAGACCCCCCCTCCCCAGTGCTCTGCTCATCCCATATCCCACCCCCATGGGCTGCAACAGGAGAGCAGGAGCTGGAGCACATTTGGAGCTGCCCGGCCACTAGCTACTTGCAAGCTGAGTGATGCCTCTCGGGATGAGTTACGGGGCAACGTTACAGGCTCCTCTCAGAGCTCTTCTGTCAAATTTGGTTAAAATTGGTCAATGAGGCTAATGGCAAGGGAGATGAACTGACAAACCCATGTATCATGGTACTGCACAAAATTCTTTGCTTGGGATGTCAGCCTAAAAATAACACTCCATCTCCCGCTAGCTGTCAGTCTGCTTATATTCACCACTTGCTTTTAAGGTTCCAACAGTATTTATCCGTTCAGCACAGATCAGGTTGGGTTTTTTTCCACTTTATCCTTTTCTCGGAAGGGTGTTACACAGAAGCAGTCACCCGCCAAGTGACACTCGCCATCTGGTGGGTGACACCACTGCAAGGTAATGATCTGACCATTAGGGCTTCTCTAAGATGCCTGGGGGAATCCGGTTTTATTTTCACCTGCTACTGCACCATCCTTAACCGGCATGCAGCCCCAACTTGCTCCAGTTTAAGTTCCCACATTTCAAGGCTTTGCTTGTGTAATCGGAACCCTCTGCAGAGCGTGCGGCTTTGCGTGAGTTGACTCGTGCTCTGCATCCGATAGCTGTGACTGAAATAGAAATATCTTCTGGAGAAAGTATCTAAGCTGGGAATTACTCTCCTCAGTGACAGAGAGCCCACCTTACCCTCCCAACCACTGCTCTGATGATCACCCACCAGCAGGGATGTGGGTGAGGAAAGCTGTAAGAACACCTTCCCCCTGTGCACGCCTACAGCATCCTCTCACCCCAGCTGCCTGTAGCCCCCTCCCAGCTCAAGGACCAGCATGTCCCGGGTCTCACACACCTAAGGACCCTGAAACCCTTGGTGACACTTCCACAAGCAGGAAGGTGCTCTGGTGTGTGATGCTCTGACCAGCTCACTGCTGCGAGAAAGCGTTTCACACCCTCTTCTCCTCCCACCCTGCCCTTCCCGGAGGAAAGCGGCGTTGGGAGACGACCCACAGTGGAGGTGAGGGCAGAGATCCCGCGGTTGAGGACACGAGGAGATCTCCTGGGCTGGAGATCAGTATGGAGGCTGGAGGCGCATCCCTTCACGCCGCGGCAGTGCGGGAGGGCGGATGGGAGGGAGGAGCTGCACGCGCAGAGCCAGGCACGGCGCAGTTCGGAGCGCTACGGCTCGGTGGGTAACTGCAGCCAGCCCGGGCTTGGTGGGGTCGGATCAAACCACTCCCAGGGCAGCTCCGCGGCGGGATAACAGCACTTCGTCAGAGCCGCTTCGTCTGGAGGGGATTCCCCACAATTAGTGCTATGCGTGCCCAGGAGGAAAGGGCCAGGTATTATAACAGATGTTACAGGGGCTGGGCAATCCCACTGCAGCTCCAACAAACTGCTGGGGAGACGCGGAGGTTCCAGGAAGCAGCAGCAGGTTAGTTACCTATGACAGATGTAAACAGCTCAGGAGCAGAGCTTCCCGCTGCCATGAAAGTTGCCCCAGCCACATCTTCGCTAAGATGCAAGTGCTGCAGAAAAACACATCAGAGTCATTGGTTACAACACTGACAGGCTGAAGGAATTCAACCAGCAACGTTAAACGGTCCGCCACGAGCGGGAAACTGCTGATACGTATAAAGCTTTATCTTAATAAAGTTTATGTTAATAAAGTTTAACTGTAGGGGAAAAAGTAATCCCATGCACCGGCTCCTGAAGTTGTTAGCAGCTCCTCGCACAGCAGGCAGGCTGCGGCTGGGATTCCCTTTCCCGAGGAGAGACGGAGCTGTGCTCGGAACAACAGCGAGGCGGTTTTACCACTTACGGGTCTTTGCCTCCTCCCTGACCCTGACGATATCCCATCTGCTTTGGCCCGTCAAGGGCAGGGCTAGACCTCCAGCTTTGTTCGCCCTTGGCCACCTTCCCTGGTCTCACTCCAGCCTTGGACATCAACCTCTCCTCACCCCCTTCCGCTGGGATCACCATGGAAGAGACCGACCTACAGCCCTCCCTGAGCAGTGCCCAGGGACCACCAAAACGGGGGCTTCTGGAAGGGAAAGGACCCGCTGCTCTATGCAAACTTCACCGGCATATGCTGTTTCCCAAGATTTACTTGGTTAATTACTTCCTTTATGTGCCGGCACTC